GTGAGATGTGCTGGAAAGCCCAGACCATGTAATTACTCCAGAACATTTTTATCACTCAGTTGTTGCTATAGTGTCACGTGCTCCATCCCAAAAGAAAGGGCCTTTTGAATGAGATGGCTGGCTTGGAGACTGATTTTGACTCGCCTTGAACATCAACATGTGATCATTTTCTATAGCTGTGGCCTGGGTCCCATGGGCCTGGGTGGGCTTTTGCCTGCACTGTGGCTCCTGGAATAATGTCTCTTCAGATACTCAAACTGTACTGTATGTCTGTAGATAGAGATGCTCGTTAACAGCTCTCTCAGCCAACCATGATCAGTTAGGTATGGACTCGGGGCTGGCTCTGGTCCTCAGGACAAAGCTCCTCCCTCTAGTGGTCTATCCAGTCAGTCTCCTGCCCTGCACACCTGGGATCTCCACTGGTTTTACTGACAAATAATGTCAAGTTGGAGTTACGCTTCCTTTGTTACTTGCTGATTTTCCTACTAAATGTAGCATTTCAATTAGATCCAATTCTTACATTTTGAGATAATTGTAAAAAAGAATGAAATTATGAAGAAATGGCCAATATCTTTTATCAGTCTGTTCTTTTGGAAGCTGTCATGCACTATAAATTGTGTACAGTTAAAGTATATATATATATATATTCTTACTGAGTAAAAAGCACCCTCTCCCCATGGTTGTATGTCTTAGTATCTGAGGAGAATGCTCAGTGACCTGTTGTTGCTGCTGCTGCTGCTGCTGTTCTGGTTTATATGGGTTTTGTTCTGTTTTGTTTTTGTGTGGTAAATTGATATTTAAAAAACAAAAAGCAAACAAAAAAACCACGACTATTGTTTACAGACTGAAAAATCACTGCTTTTTATACTACTGAGATCCTGAGTCAAGACTTTCCAAAGCAGGAATTGGGTTCAAGTTACTTCTCTGACGTGGACCGAGAGTCCTCTGTAGTGTCTCCACATACTGGAGAGTGTGCACAAACCTAGGTGTGCTGCCATCAATTTTGTATATTTTCATAATTTTAATTGTTCAAAATTGCATTATATTTTGCAATCACCACGTTCAATCTGTATTTGTCTTTCATTTCAACATTTTCAATATAAAAAGGGGTTCAATTTATCCACAGGCTTGTTGAAACTCTTCCTACTTTTTGATATCATTTATTGGTACGGGAAATCTGCTCTTGAGAGTTAAGTAAAGGCAGCAGCTTGGCTTTAACTGGACAGGTTAATTTACATAAGTGCTTGCATTTTTAGTTGGCATTCTTGCCTGGTTCATTTTTGTTCAGTCTTAAAAGTTAGAGCTTCCTAAGCAGTGTACCTCATCTCAATTCTGTACAGAATGTTAGCCCTACCTTGGGCTAGCCCAGGCCAGAGGCCGGAGGCAGGAGGATCAGGTCAAAACCATGTGCAGCTACTTAAAAACAAACAAATGAAAATAAAAACCAAAAGATGAAAGGTCAGAACGTATCTTTGTGGCTTCCCAGTAGTAGTGCCTTACACACTTCCATTTATTAACTGGCAGGTGTGTCCTGAGCAGCTGTGCTACATCTGTCAGTCGCTGAGGCCCGACATCCTAAGTGGAGGCTGTGTGGTGCAGATCCATCCCTGTGGTGGAACTTGGGTCAGTGTGTCTGGAGACCTGATAGTCAAAGTGCAAAGGCCCCACTTAGGAAAGTGACTGGAAGGCTTCAGGATGTCTGGTGACACACACCACTTGCTCAAGGGCACACTAACCATGTAGTAGAAGCAGGAGCTGTTTTCCTGATTACTTTTTGTCCTGCTAGCACATGCCCTTAGCAAGTTTTGCCTGTTTCTTCAAGGAGGAATTAACTTTATCTAAATATTTTTTTTCCTTTAACAAAAAGAGTGTTCACTGCTGCTCTTAACCTTCCCAACATGATTTGACTTTGCAGACACTATTACTATTTGATGCCAACCTTACAGTGGTGAGTACAGAGCTAGTCACAGGATCATGCATGTTATTTGGGGTTTCCCATTGCAGTTCATGCTTGAGGAGCACAGCTTTATGCAACTTCTAGCTTCTGTAGATGCCAGGAACATGAATGTGCCCCCCCACACACACACACACAAGAGCTAAAATCTAGACCCTTTCTCCGTGAGACAGTGCTTCCCTGTACACCCAAGGCTAGCCGTGGACTCCTTTTTTTGCTTCACTCCAAAAGTTCCTCTTGGCACTGAAAATTTATTCTCTAATAAAATATATGTTGGATCCAGTGTTTACTGCTTTAGGTTATTGAAGAATTCCCTTAAACAGTATTAGCCATATGGCGCTAAGAAGCCAGATTCTAGGTAGCCATCATTAGAGCCTGCTTCCTGTCCCATGTCAGTGTTGCTGGAAGGAGTCATCTGGCTGCAAAATGAGGGAGATTGCACTTCTCTGGCATATGTCAATCTCTTAAGCAGATCCAACTTGAAAGAGAAGACATAGCAGCCGGCCTGAGCCCATCTTGGGAAGGCCCAGGGTAGCCTGCCACCCTCCACCTCTGTCACCGGGCATGAAAGACTGGGTGTTCTGCTTTCTATAAGACAGCGATACTTTGTCCTTTGGAGTTGGCTGGCCTAGATATGGGTATAAACTGGAACAGCTAAGGTAAGTCTGTTTCAGAAGCACCCAAGGAGACTAGAAAGGATTTTGATTAAAATTACAAAATGAAAATGTTAGCAGCTAGAGAAATGGCTTGCTCAGTAGTTAAGAGCCCATGAGGACCTGAATTCGGTTCCCAGAACCTACCAAGTGGCTCACAACCCAACACCTTTTTTGGGCCTCCATGGCTGCTGCATGCCCATGTACATTGTGTACGTACATACATGCGGACAAGCACTCAGACACATAAAATTAGAAAAGTCACTGAAAACACTGGGTCCTCTGGATCTCAGATTCGTTCCTGAGATGTAAACTGTGCTGTGAGCAGGGGCAGTTAAGTGTGGGGATGGCTCACAGCCCTGGCCAAATCTCTGAGTAGCATCTGCAGGAGTGGGGGAACAGAAGAGGCCTACACTTCTACAGCTGTGTCTGCAGAGGAGCCAGGTGCTCTGACAGGTGGGGGAGTCCGGTTCAAGTCGGCTTTGCCAGGCAGTGGTGGCACACACCTTTAATCCTAGCACTCAGAAGGCAGAGGCAGGCAGATCTCCGAGTTTGAGGCCAGCCTGGTCTACAGAGCGAGTTCCTGGAGAGCCAGAGCTGTGTTATACAAAGAAACCCTGACTCGGGAGTTTAAAAAAAAAAAAAAAAAGTTGATGTTGACTGAGTAACTTACAGCAAGTGATATTGTTGGAGAGTAGTTTATAATTTAAATCTTTAAATTGGAATGATTCTTCATCTGGTTATGCACTTATAGGATCTCAGTTACCCCAGGCTGGTCCTCATAGTGGTCAGATTACAGATGTGTATCACCACATCTGGCTTTGGTTGTATAAATTCTAAAAACAGTACATTAGTATAACTAAGAATTTGCTCTCGAGAAAGCATGAAAGATAATGCCCTGTTGCTTGTTCATTGGCAAGGCCAGAGGGCAGACAGCAGCACCCTGTCCTTGCCATACACGATTCTCCAGGAGGTAGGTCTAGCCTTGTGCAGGGAAGAGAAAGCCATAACAGCTAAATCTCAAAACGGAACTCAAATCATAGGTCAAAAGTACAATCTGAAAAGAAAACCATCTAACCAAAACAGACTTTATTTGTTCAGAATGAACTCCTCTGTAGCACCAATTCCTCTGGGGGGGCATCTCACCAGCCTCAGCTGAGCACACAGGCTCTCCACACACTGGCTCGAGGGATGTCCTAAGTGTGGTCTCAGCAGCATGAATGTCCAGGCGTACTCAGGGCTCAGGTTTGGCTCAGGACTGCTTCGCTCCACTCCCCCTTGTACCCCACGGGGGCCTCCAGCCAGCGGGTGGCTCTCCCCTTCCCGCCCCCAGCACACCCTGGAACCCCCTTGTGCCCCGTCACAGCTCCTCCTTCCCGGCCCCCTTCTTCCGGAAGGCAGTCAGGATGTTCAGGCTCTTCTGCAGCTCCTCCTTCTTGCTGTCGCTCATCTTGTTCTCAATCAGCTTGCTGATCCGCGTCATTTCTGAGGCTGGGAAGTCTTCCCCTTGGTCCAAGATCTTCCCCATGATCTTCAGGTACTGGCTGGCCCACTTCCTCTCCGTCTCCTTCACACCTGAGAGGCCATCCTGCCCCTGTTTCAAGATGGCCTGGCGGGCCTCTACGCTGGAAGCCTTGATAAACTCGCCTGCTAGGGCATCATAGGCAGGCAGGCAGCCAGGCATGCCCAGGTAGACCCCCTGCCCCTTTAACCAGCGCTGGATGGCTCCGACCTTAATTGCCCCACTGTATGGTACAGGGTTCTCAAAGTCCCCGTCCCGGAACAGGTAGAAGATTGGGTAGCTCTCTTTGTCCAGCTTGTATTTCTCACTCAGCTCCATGTTCAACTTGTCACCGTAGTCTGCGAACAGAAACCAGACATGAGGAACTGGTATAACACTGCTGTGGGGCCTGCTGATCAGAGGGAGAGATTGAAAAGTTGGCTGTGCAATGTCAAGTTTCACCAGAGACCTGGGTCTCCATTTGTTTCCTAACATGCCTTAGCTGTGTGGCTCTACTGTGTCATTCAGTGACTCTTCTCTTTGGGGGAAACAATAATCCTTGGAATGTTGTATCCACTGTGGGCTGGAACCTGCTGTGAGTGTGTGGGAATAGTCACAGTGCAGATCTCCGAGGCTGCAAGGAGCTTGTACTCTACAGGACAGAAGACACACTGCAGGGCACAGTTTGGGAGTGAGGAGGCTTGTGTGATCCAGGCTGCGGAATCTGACTTCAGAGGAGTCAGCCACATGAAGAGCTGGGGCTCGTGTGAAAAGGTCTGGGCAGGGACTGAGCTCGGAGGTCACGAGCCACATCCAGCCACTCTGGCTGCAGCTTTACAGAAGGGGGGGGGGGAGTATTTAGTGACCACTGACGGCAACACAGGCCCTGCCTCACAAAGGCTGTAGGAAGACCAGTGAGGGAACACACCTCTGTGGAGAAGGGAGGTGCTTGCTCACTGTGTGGAAGAAGTGCTCACTGTGTGGAAGTACTCACTGTGTAGAAAGTGCTCACTCACTGTGTGGAAGTGCTCACTCACTGTGTGGAAGTGCTCACTCACTGTGTGGAAGTACTCACTGTGTAGAAAGTGCTCACTCACTGTGTGGAAGTGCTCACTCACTGTGTGGAAGAAGTGCTCACTGTGTGAAGGTGCTCACTGTGTGGAAGAAGTGCTCACTGTGTGGAGGTGCTCACTGTGTGGAAGTGCTCACTCTGTGGAGGTGCTCACTGTGTGGAAGTGCTCACTGTGTGGAAGAAGTGCTCACTGTGTGGAGGTGCTCACTGTGTGGAGGTGCTCACTGTGTGGAAGTGCTCACTCTGTGGAGGTGCTCACTGTGTGGAAGTGCTCACTGTGTGGAGGTGCTCACTGTGTGGAAGTGCTCACTCTGGAAGTGCTCACTGTGTGGGAGTGCTCGCTCACTGTGTGGAGGTGCTCACTGTGTGGAAATGCTCACTGTGTGGAGGTGCTCACTGTGTGGAAATGCTCACTGTGTGGAGGTGCTCACTGTGTGGTGGCAGCTCTGACACCCTCCCCAATAGGCAAGTTTTCTCCAAGGCTAAAAGCTGGTGATGGCTGCCAGGGGTTCCTCCTAGTCTGACTTTTTTTTTTTTAAAAGACTGATTTTTACTTTATGTCCATCGGTGTTTTGACTATATGTATGTCTGAGGTATCAAATCTCTTGGAGCTGAATTACAGACAGTTGTGAGCTGCCATGTAGTTGCTGTGAGTTGAACCCAGGTCCTCTGGAAGAGCAGCCTGTGCTCTTAACCGCTGAGCCACCTCTCCGGCCCCCTAGGTCTGGCGTTTAACTGCCCCATTAAGTCTTAAGCATCAGGCGCTGCTCTGAGACACAGGTGACAGTCCCATAGAACTTCCTTCACAGAGGTGTCAGGGACAAAGCTCATGGGAAGCAGCACAGTGGCCTGGTACACAGTAGGTGCAGGATGGATGTTTTCCCAGCTGCAGTTATTAGTCACCAAGTGCTGCGGGAGCTGACTAACTGCCCTGGAGAAGTGTGCCAGCCCGCTCTACTGCCACCAGACTGCAGGAAGTTCCCAGGGTCTTCCTGGTGAAGGTGACAGGACCGAAACTCAGTGTCTGCCCATCGCTCTCTGGACTGTACCATTGGATGCTGGTGACCACAGCTATAGAAACCGCCCATTGATTACTGGTGGCAGCCAGCAGCTTATTCCAGCTATTGCCAGAATCCAGCACTGGCATAAAAGCTGACATGAAGACAAGAAGACGGCGTTCCTCCTGTCCCAGGCCTTGCAAGGAGGGACTCCGTTCTCAAGGGAAGTCAGACAGGTGAAATTTGGGAAGAGGGGGCACCCCTTCAGGCAGCTATGGGATCCCCTGTGGTCCCACGGGCGGCACCTGCTCTGCCTAAGCTTGCTGCAAGCACTAGCTTCTGACAGATCACACAACCAGTTTCTCCGAGGGGATGGCTCAGGGGGTATTAGTCCCCCTCCCAGCAGGGAAATGAGCCCTCGCTTCCTTCCTCCCAGGCCCCTCCCCAGTCATCCTGGACTTGTCCATACCTGAGATCCCCACCTCTGCCACCAAGAGATCATCGCTGGAGGCCGAGTTTTCAGCCAGCCGCTTGAACTCGTCCTGCTTCTCACCGTAGGGGTACTGGGTGTCGAACTTCACCAAGACGAACTTGCTTTTGGGGATGACCTGAGGGCGCATAGAGCTGAGCAAGTCGGGTGTTCAGGGACCTTTGGAGCTAATTCCCCTTCCCAAGGGACCCCTGTTTAAGAAACAGAGTGGAAGCAAGCCTACACAGGAGACAAGCTGTCCCATGCTATCATTCACAGATTCCCCTAAAGCTTAGGATGTTTGCTGGGCATCGCACTGGGCATTTGTTCACACTGAAAAGACAGTAGTGGAGAAAGAACTGAGGCCTTCCCCCAGTGTCTCTCAACAATACCCAGGAGACCCTAGCAGGCACTGCTGCTCTCTGCCATCTCAGGGGGGTCTTTCTCAGTAAACACCAAACACTCAGGATGCTTCGGCCATAGAGGCCAGAGTTTGAACTGAACTGAGCAGGTTCAGGTCAGTAGAAGGTTGCTGAGAGGCCAGACCTGGGTCAATGTCATCTCTTAAGACCAGAGTTCCCTTTAGCTACATCTCTGTCTTAAACTGTCAAGGCCAGAATTTTAATTGTGGTAAAGTTAATGTAATGAAATATTTCTCAATATTTTTTTTCTTTCAAGACAGTGTTTCTCTGTTTAGACCTGGCTATCCTGGAACTCCCAATGATCTGCCTGTCTCTGCCTCCTGAGTGCTGGGATTAAAAGCATGCACTACCACCCAGCTGTCTACCATGATTTTAAAACTTGTTCATGTTCTAGCACATGTCAGAACATGATGCCTTTTCTTTTTTCCTTTCTTTTGGAGACAGGGCCTATGTAGCCCAGACTAGCTCACACTGATCCTCCTGTCTCAGCTTCCCAAATGCTGAGGGTACATGCATGCATCACCACACTCCGGCTTAGAGCTTTGACCCCCACCCCCAAGTAAACCACACATCAGCTGATAGACTCTCGAGTTGCTTCTTCCTCTTGGTTACTATAGAGAGCACTGCCCTAAATGTTCACATACATGTTTTGTTTGAGCACACAAATTCCATTCCTTTGGTTTACTAGGAATGGAGCTTCAGGCGAGTCTACATTTAACTTACTGATGAGCTCAAGACTTCCTTTTGGTGGCTCCTTTTAATGCACACATTTTATCTAGCTAGCTTTGGTCAGTAATATTGCCTACCCATCTTCAAATAAAAAAAAAAAAGAACTTATTGTTTCTAATTCTGTATGTGTGGCTATGTGCATCTGAGTACAGGTACCCAAGGAGGCCAGGAGAGGGCGTCTGATCCCTGGAGCCAGAGTTACAGGCTGTAAGCTGCCTGAGATGGGTGTGAGGGCAGTGTTTGCTGTTAACCACTCAGCCATCTCTCCAGCCTCCATCAACCTTTTCGTGAGTGTAGTCCAGCAATCCCAAACTGTCATATTTTCATCACAGGCAATCACTGGAGGTAAAAAGGACTTTTTTTTTTAACATTCACTTGGTTTTACATATTTAAGGATATTAACACTGCCTAGGGACATGAAGAACAGAAGCCATTGGAACAGGTCACTGACACCAGAAAGTCAGCTCTAAGAGCTCAGCAGCAGGGAAGACTGAAAATATAAATCGGATCACATCCCTGTGGCCCAGCTGGCCTTGTTTCGGCTCAACACTAGCTCCAGCCTGCTGCCTGGAAGCCTCTTCCTGGGTTCCCTTGACTGCCTCTGTCATTCAAGACTCAGTTTAAATGTCTCCTTCTAGTGGAGAGAACGATCCAGTCACCTATTACTTCACTTCCTTAACCCTCTCCCATCTCACTCTGAAACCGTCTTTTCTTAATTGCTAATTTTCTGTCCTTTTTACTTGGATGTGCATTTCTAAGGATAAGGACCATGGCCCATGTTCTGGTGCACCCCTCAAGTCCCAGTGTCTGACTGACGTCTGGCAGACACTGAGAAATGTTCTGAATAGAGCTCTTAACAGTTTTGATGCTGCAAGGTAGTAAGAAGTGGCATGGTGTTTCCAAAGCACAGCACGGGATCCCTACCAGGGGGCCTACATTGTAATACAGAATACCAGTCATCATAAGGACACCGGAGTAGAGAGGAGAGTTTAGTTAACAGGATGCAGTGGTACCCTTGTGCATGTGTATTGTGTGCGTAGGGGTCGGTTCTCTCACCAGAGGACTGGACTCTGGTGGTCACGTTTGGCGGAAGCGCCTTCCTGCTGAGTCACCTCATAGGGCCCTTCCCTGGGATTTTTAAAACAAGGTCTCATTAAGTTGCCTAGACTGGCCTTGAACTCATGACCTTTCTGCCTCTGCCTCACCAGTTCTGTGTGTGACACCATTGTCTGGCTGAAGTTGTGTCTTTTGTTCACTGAATAGGAAGCTGCTAAGAGCCCGTCATGCCCCAGACATCATTCTGAATGAACACAGCCTCATTCTGAATGATCAACATGGAGAGGCTCTCATCTGCTGAAGCCGCCTAGTGAAGGTCAAAAATAACACCAAGACAAATCTTTTCTAAGTTGGAAATCACTGAAAGGCAAAGCATGTAGACACCTGTTCATTCACGTGAACACAACACACCAGATCAACTGTCATATTAGATGCTCAATAACCAATCTGGTATGCTGTGTAGAGAGAGAGTCAGAGGACTTCATAAGCATGTCATAGTCTACTATGGGAGGTTTGAAACTGACAGGTTAAAAACAAAATAAACAAACAAACAAAAACAGCAACTGGGCTGAATTTAAGCCCAGGGGCCTGAGGAAGCAAGGAAAGGACTTGAGGGGGGTAATAGTTAACCTAAGACAAACCAATGTGAAGTAACTTATTTCAAAGACCTGGCAAAGAATGTTCCAGTCACAAGGAACAGTCAGAAGGCTTTGTACTGGCTAGAGCAGACTGGACAAGGGGGCAAATGGCTAGGCACTGAGCGGTGACAAGGGGCACTCCCTACAGCGTTTCCTGCTCCATTAAGTGGAACCTCGAGGTGCAGGCAGGAGCCAGTGGGGTTTCTGTGATGACAGCCCAGAGCAGGGGGGCAGTTGGTAAAGACGGAGGAGCACCGACTGGTTTAAACTGATGGTGTCCCTTTTATTCACCCTTGCACTGCTGTACAGAGCAACTTAGAGTATACGGAGTTGAGTGGGTGATTAATAACACGGCAGGCTTCTTTCTTTAAATCCCTAAGAACAACGCTGAATGGGCCACACGTGCAGGGTCCTTTCCAAAGTAGACGTGTCCAACCACTCGAGAGAGGCGCCTTCATTTAGAGTTCCCTTCTGCTTTTCACTTCCTCACCATGAGAACAAAATAAGAAAACGACTATTTCTCTCCACTCTTAGCTCGCCCAATAGGGGAACTGAAAAGCTGCTGGTGGCTGGACTCAGATGCATGAGGACCAGGCTGGGTCCACACAGGCCACTGCTCTCATCCTCCAACATTTCCTCTATCCGTTTACCCGGACCTGGATACCAGATTTTGAAAAAGGAGCTGGGTGGGGGGTCGTGGCGCTTCTTCGTTCTCTGCCCCAAGATGCTCTCTCTACAGGTGGCAGAACTGCACCCTTGTATTTTGTAAGGGTCCGCGTGCTATCTGAACGTGGTTTACACACTGCCAAGCAGGCTACAATCCATCCTCAGAGAAGAGGGGGATCAGACTTGCATGTTAACGGGCTGAGTTCTCTTCGCCACCCCCACCCCATCAGGGAGCCGAGGAGCGTCGACCTCGCCCCGCCCTTCGGTCTTCCACTTGGGACTCGTGGATTGGATCTCTCCCGGCATTGTCTTTTCCCTACAGATAAAGGGAAGGGACACTTAGTTCCCTTGACTGTGGTTTTTTTTTTCTTTTTTGGTAAAATGAGGTAGCGAGTACCCGTGCGGCAACGCCAAGGCGAGGGTGGGAGCCGGGTGGTCGGCGTGCGCCCCTGCTCTGCCAACACGGGGCCTCTAGGACGGTGGGATGTCTAAGGGAGGGTCCCTTAGGGGACCGCCTGCTGCCACCCCTCGGGGCCCAACGTCCTCCTGGGCGCGCGCTCCCACGGGCGTCCAGCTGCACCTGCGCACGACCCCTCCACCCCCCCAGATCCTCATTACCTTGTAGAAAGTGACTGTGTCCAAGGGAAGGGCGCCTTTCGTGTGCAGGCCGCTGCCGCCGTGCGGAGCAGAGAGGAGCAGCAGGCCCAGGAGAAGAGACAGCAGCGGGGACAGGGAAACGGCGCCCGGGGCCGCGGCAGCCATCACAGCAGATTACGAACGGGGGAGCGGGCGATAGGAAAACTGCGGCCGCAGCGCTCCGCGGGGGCTCTCACGTCACTCGGGGGGTGGGGCGGGGCGGCGGGGAGGGAGGGGGCGGTCCCGCGAGCGCGCTTGCGCGCAAGTGGCCACTCCGGCGGGCTCCGGCTTCCCCGTCCTCGGGCTGGGGAGGGAGGGGCGGGGCCACGGGAGCGCGCCGGCTGCGCATGCGTGTCCGGCGAAGGCCGGGGCCGAGGGCGGGGCCACGTGATGGGCGAGCGGGGGGGGGGACGCAGGGCCGCCGCGCACGCGCCCTGCGTCGCCGCCGGCCGAGGCTGGGTCCCGCCGCGTTTCTCGCGGGAGCGGAGGCGAGGGGCGAGGCGTCCGCGCTTCCCGTGCTGCCTTCCCGGCGCCGGGCCGGCGTGCTGGGCCGTCGGGACCCGCCGCCTCCTGCCGGGGTTAGTCCGCTGCCTGTCCCGGGTCGTCGTCGCCCGCGGGCTGCCTGGTCGGTGTCCTGCGTGTGGTCGGCGGTCAGGAGGGTGGCACGACCCGGCTCGGATGTGTCCTGAGAAGACAAGCATCCCCTTTGACTGCCTGCCTTACGCCGTGTTCCCATTGTGCCCGTGGGAATGCAGCACGGCCATAAAGGATCGAAGGGATTCCGGGTGCACGGGGATCGAAGCCCGCAGCCCGGGTGTGGCAGCGCAGGCCTTCACTCCCAGTGCCAGGGACGCTGGCAGGCTGACCTCTGGAGTGGGAGGCCAGCCTGGCTCGACAGAGTGTGTTCCGAGCCTGCCAGGACTGAATTCAAGCCTCCACACACACACACTCCCACCCCATATGAGTTCCATCCTCAGCATCCAAGGAAAAAAAGCTGGATCTGGGCCTGGTGTGTTGACACACATCTTTAATAATCACACCACCCCTGAGGCCAAGGCCGGTGTGATCCTGGTCCGTGTGGTGTGTTCTAGGCCATCCAGAGTAAACTTAGTAAGATACTGTGTCCAAAAAAAAAAAAACAAGCTGGGTGTATGTAGCACACGTAGCCACACTGGTTAGGCAGAGGCAGAAAGGTCCCCAAATCAAGCCTGATTGAATCCGTGAGCTCCAGGTTTAGAGAGGTTTTCAAAAAAGATCAGGGTATCATTGAGGAAAATAGGTTGCCCACTGGGCCTCTATGTGCATACATAGTCACACACGTGTACACACACACACACACACACACACACACACACACACACACACACACACCATATAGTTCCTGGACATTCACCTCAGCAGTGCTTTAATATGGGGAGTGATCCATCTTCCCCCCACCCCCACCCCACTTTTGAAGCCTAGACTGGCCACCCATTCAGAATCCTCTCACCTTGGCTTCCCAAGTACTGTGTGCATTATCACATCTAGCTAATGTACATCTTCACGATTTTATGTTGCTTTGGCATCCAGGTTGACCATAAATTGTACTTTCTCGTGCGAGAAATAGGGTTCAGTAGTCACCTCTAAGAGGTTGTATTTATTTGTTGTTGCACCTGAATGCTTTATCTACCTGTATATTCTACGCACCATGTACGTGCCTGGTGCCAGAGGAGGCCAGAAGGGTGTGTTGGATGTGAAACTGCAGCTAGGTGTGGTTTTAAGCCTCCGTGTGGGTGCTGGGAATTGAACTCTCGTCCTCTAGAAGAACAGCCAAATGCTCAACCACTGAGCCATCTCTCCAGCCTCTTCAGTGGTCTCTTAACACAGTCTGTACTTGTATAGCTCTGGCTTTCAGGATGGTGGTTCTAGATAGCTGTACCTTCTACACTTGCTGACCAGGAGTCACCCCTCTAATAGCCAGCTAGGTGCCCTCCTCTTGACTCACCATACTCACCTTCACATCTAGCACAGGCTGTGCAGGCGTGACATGCCACCACTGTCACAGTGTGACTTCCTGACATTCACACCTACTTGAAGCCTACCAATAAAATCTCTCCCCCAAGCCGGGCGGCTGTGGCCCACACCTTTAGTCCCAGCACTCGGGAGGCAGAGGCAGGTGGATCTCTGTGAGTTTGAGGCCAGCCTGGTCTACAGAGCGAGTTCCAGGAAAGGTGCAAGGCTGCACAGAGAAGCCCTGTCTCGAAAAACAAAGAAACAAACAAAATCTCTCTCCCAGGAAACATTTGGACATTGCTATGTCCTAAGAAAGACCTATAGGTCCTTCCCTGTCTTCTCGCTTAACACATCTTGAATTGTGTGTGTGTGGCCTCCAGGGCTGCTGTCTCCCGGTATTAAAATCTTTACTATCTCATCTCTTTCTTAATCACTGTAAGGGTATTTCTCCACCCTAAAAGATCCAGTATTACAAGTCATTCCTGCTCAGATGTGTCAGCATTGTGTCCAGGAGATGATTTAGAGCATGGCCTTGAAAGGGAGGAAGCATTTGTGAAGCAAAGGGAAACAGTGCTAGTTAGTGACAGATAGGGTCAAGCGTGTTGGACACCATGAATCTGAAAAGGCAAAATAAAGGTTCTCACTAAGGGCTTTAAAGCCACCAGAGGTTTTAATTGGAGTGTTGTCAGATTTACGTGTAAAAGCATCACTCACGAATGAAGGGAAAGCGGGGCGTGGTGGGACACACCTTGAATCCTAATCTTAGTGAGCCCTTCCTGGGAAGGAGAGCAATGGAGACCAGAGAAAATCTGAAGAAGAGTTTAGAATAAGCAGTGTCTTGGTCATGGACAAAATTGTGTGCTTCACATGCACTGTGATTGCATTTGGAGAGAGAGTTATTATAATAATTACAGAAATAATTACCACTAAATGAAATCATACGGGTGCACCCCAATCCATCGGGCCTGATGTCCCTTCAAGAAAAAAGAGATTACAGCTGGTTATGGTGGTGCAGGCCTTAGATCTCAGTGCTTAGGTTGAGAGAGGTGGTTCTCTGTGAATGGGAAGCCAGACTGTCAGCCAGGGTGGTAGACCCTTGCTTAAAAAAGAAAAGCCGATGAAGGGAACAGATCAGAAGGGAGAAGGCTGAAGGCAGTTCAGTATCTATTGCAATATTAAAGGAGATGACAGGAGAAACCCTGTCTCGAAAAACCAAAAAAATAAAAAATAAATAAAGGAGATGACAGAAGTTAAAATCCAGCAGTTTAAAAAAGCATACATAGCCGGGTGGTGGTGGCACATGCCTTTAATCCCAGCACTCAGGAGGCAGAGGTAGGCGGATCTCTGTGAGTTCCAGGCCAGCCTGGTCTACAGAGTGAGTTCCAGGACAGCCAGGACTGTTAGACTGAGAAACAATGTCTGGAAAAAAACCCAAAACAAAACAGAATTCATGAGACTTTGATTAAACAAATTGATTCAAGTGGAAGACCCGTCTGGGCCTGCCCTGGATTTCTCCTTTGTTACAGCTGCTGCTCTCAGGCCAAAGTGCAACACATTTTTGAAGCTAAGTGCCAAGGAAAACTGACTCTATGTTGTGTTCACACGAGTCAACAACTGACCGTCAGGGCACCAGGATGTACCAGCCGACACAGCATTTGTCCTGTGTGAATAAGCAATGCTGCCTGGGACATATATCAAATCAAAGCAGAGACTCTGTATGAACTCTACACGTGTTGCCCCAGATACACCCACACCTGGAACTGTGCAGAGCGTCCTCATTCTGACCCATCAATATAAGACACGGGCAGAAGTGAAAGCCGTCTTTCTCTGTCCCGAGACTCCAGCCTGAGTGCAGCTTCTCTATCCTGTGATGCTCTGTCCACTTCAGCATTTGAAACGGCCGGACAGCTGGGCCTGTGCTGACAACTCTGAGCCTGTGTCTAGTGAGACGCTTCTTATGGCCCCTGCAGGATTTGAATTGAGATGTATCAGGACCGCCTCTCAGAACTCTGCGGCAGCTGTAACTCTTATGGCCATTCTCTAGTCTGTGTAAACATATTATTGTATGACAGAGTAATGGGTGGGCTGAGAGTTAATGGCAGTAACTAGTTCTGGAATAAAGGGACCCATGAATGCTAGGATCCACACTCCTGAATTCAAAATTACTTGGTGAGTTGCAGCCAGTGAACCAAATAGCTTGGTTAGTCAGTAAATTCTGACATGAAAAGACACAAATATGTCTATGTTTCTGGCATAAAATGCTTGTGACAGTGGAAAAAAAAAAAAACACTTATACGAAATGTTGAGAGACTTTGGATAGCCAGACAGTGGTGGAACACACCTTTAGTCACAGCACTCGGGAGACAGAGGCAGGTGGATCTCTGGAAGTTCGAGGCCAGCCTGGGCTACAGAGCCAGCTCCAAGACAGCCAGTGCTACACGAAGAAACCCTGTCTCAAAAAAACAAACAAAAAAAGAGTTTAGCAGCCGGGCGGTGGTGGCGCACGCCTTTAATCCCAGCACTCGGGAGGCAGAGGCGGGCGGATCTCTGTGAGTTCGAGGCCAGCCTGGACTACCAAGTGAGTCCCAGGAAAGGCGCAAAGCTACACAAAGAAACCCTGTCTCGAAAAACC